GCTACACGATCCCCTAATGTCATAATACGAGTACATAAGTACGAGTACTTCTAGACTGGTCAACGACGACGGCGAATCCGGTATCCGGATAACGAAGAACGTCTGTAGAAACGCCATCAGTGGCAGAGGCGGTGGCAGCGATGGAACGACACTGTAATTACACAGGTACACAGCCAAAATTTCGAGTTTTCCATGATAATTGGATCCTCCTGAGCAAAAGTCCCATATAAATCATCACCAACGGGCTCCACGGCTGAGAATACAAGAAACAGATGTCTGCCGACGTTTTGAGTTACAACAACAAGACCTTTGGTTTCATCGGTAAGTGCACGTCACTACACGAAATGTGTATGCAAATTAAGTTTCTCACTAGTGAATTGATTAAAAAAATTTATTTTTATTTTTAACAATCACTTATTCACTATTACAATTTTACAATAGGTCCAACTTATTTAATTCACTGCTCTTGTATTTATTCTCGAATTATTGTTCTGCTCGATTCGGATCTCAAAAACGGACTGCCTGCTCTCTAGTTCAATGATCAATAATCAAACCTCGGCTTAAGAGATTTTATCCCCAAAAATTGATAAAGAGAATGACTCAAGAGAGTCGGAAAATAGGATGATGCAATTTGCCAATTAAATTCGAAGTCCAATCTTGGCCGGAAATTGGTGTTTACATTAGCGGAGTTTAGGGACCGCTTTGGGGATCTTTTTGTTTACGTTAGCGGACTCGGGACTCGCTTTAGGGATCTTTTGTTTACGTTAGCGGACTCAGGGCTCGCTTGGGGCTCCGATTGTTTACAAAATCGGTTTGGATGTTTACAGCATCCGTTTGATTCGGACTGCGTGAAATTGATCTGGGTGGGAATGATTTGCAGGCCTGCTTGGCAGAAATAGCTGACCACGGATTTATCTCGGGTCTGTCAGAGTTATTTGGAAATTAGCTCTCGGCTCAAAGTTGTTTATAAATTGGGTAAGAGCCCCTAAATAATGTGTCATATAACTCCCCCATTCTAAATTGAATCGTCCCGATTCATTGGAACTGTTGGGTATATTGAATGTAACTGATTGGTTAATTCGACAAAGATATTTTCTTCTAGGGTATTTTCATTGTCGGGTGTATTATTTATCTCAATATCGGAAGTATTGCTTTCTGGTTCGATTTCTATACGAATTTGCCATGGTTTGAATATTAAAAATTTTCTGAATTTGATTATAATCATAATAATTAAATATATTAATGCTAATATGATTAATATTAACGTAACAGGTATTTGAGTTTGTTTAATTTGAATAAATGGATTTAGTATGTTAATATTATCAAATGAGAGTTCCGAATCTTTAGATATAATATATTCGGATATTAAAAAATCTGTATATTTTCGAGCTGTGATGTATTCCAATATCTTATTGTCTACATTGGTGTAGGAAATATTATTAATTATAGAGGTGCCATTAAAAGTATTTAAATATGACCCATTTAAATGAGTGTCATTAACTGTATTTTCTCCATTTACAAAAATGGCTCCATCTTGGATTACATATACTTTTTTATTTTTTTCTCTGATTTTGTTACAAAAAGATTTTTCTCCACTTAGTAATCTGGTGAAACAAGAACCATCTGGGTTAAGTGTGCAATAATTGTTAAATATTTCTGTCTTAAAATTAGACATTACATAGTACTTATTTCTACATTTTGCGACGTGATTAGCAATTAATAATTTTCCATCATCATGTGAAATGGATCTTGAATTGTAAACGTCACAGCGATCGGTAATAATAGGGTATTTGATGTAAATTATAATAAGATCTTGATGCAAAGCGATTTTAAATTCAGATATATCTAAAAGGTCTGTTATAACTACAGGTCTATTTTCGTGTTTATAAATTTCTTGTATATCGTCGTTGTTTAGAATTTTAGTATTAAATACATCGATTTTGGCGAGTGTAATTGTGTCCATTAAATTCATAAGATCGTAAGTACGCAAACGCAGACGATATTTTCTAAGCGGAATTTCTTGATCTTTAAAGGCTGTTTTGAATTCTTCAGATAAAGATTTTATCTCTTTAAATATTTTAGAATTAATAACGAATTGATCGTTATTATTTTGTATTAAATCATCGATTTTATTTTGGACAGTTATGTAATCATCATGATCTGGTGTTCCCGCTTTCCATTTCCAAATAGTGCCTATTTCATTAATGCCTCTTTTCGATCTACTGGGTATAATTTGGGAGATAAGTATTTGGATAATTTTTAAATCGTGGGATATTTCCCAAAGAAAATTGTTGCTGTCGTGACTCTTCAGAAATTCTGTTTCAAGATTAATTATATCTCTATATACCTCATCGATTTAGCGTCGCTTGTGAACGGTTGTGTTTACTCTTGTGCTCTGAATTTTTTGTCTATTCTGTGATTTTTTGCGAGTGTTTTGTGTTTGTTTATTAACAAAGCTTAGTCTAACCGCTGGGTTAGTGTCTTTAGTGTTTTTTACTAG